TGAAGGTATCTTCAAGATATCCCGATGGGATATCTCTAAGATATTGACTGAAGATGTCTCGAAGACGTCCCGAAGACATCCCTTACGAGATGTCCGAAACCGTCTGAAAGAAGATGTCTTCAGGATATCCTATAAAGACATGGGGACAAGTCGTCCAGTTAGGGACATCCCTGTGCTATGTGGGACAGGCCGTACTAGTACTGCATATTGAAATGCCTTCACCATTGGAATGCCTCCACTGGAAAAAAAAATTTGGGAAAATATTAACGCCAATATTGGCCCAATGTTTTTCCGTGTAGTAATACCAATAATGGTCCAAGATGGGTGCCAATGTAGAGCCAAGATGTATACATCTTGGCGGTATATATTGACTCAATATTGGGGTGCTATTGGGGTCCATCTTGCCATTATTGCCAATACTGGCGAAATATTGGTTCAATATTGGCTTCCCGATATTGCCATTCCATCATCGATCCAATATCAGACTGACGCGATGATCCAATGCGCCCAGTTTGCACGCAGGAGATTTTTTTTGTGCGAAAATGTTGAAGTTCTCCTCTAGGCCACTAGATGGGGGTAAAGGTTTCGCTTTTCGCATAGTACATAAAAGTACACTTACCTCTTTCCATGGAATCATCCCTCACAGGAGTATTTAGTACTTCACTTCATGTTTTTCCTTGTCTCATTTTAACAATCAATAAAATCGGACACTTAATCATTTATTATCCCCATACTCGAAACAGAATCATGGAGCCCAGGCGATTAACAAGCTCATTCTTCCTATAAGAAACCCTTGCATCCGTGTGTGTTTCTCTCCTTCTATAAGGACACTTGTCCTGAGGACGTACACGGATACCTGACATACAACGCAAAGCACAAAAGACGACGACGAGCGTTCAGAGCTGCCACCTTCAGTACACGCCGTCGAGTCGCCAGTAGGGAAGATTATAGCGCTAACACACTCGATGATCTCCCAGATGACTCAACTAATCAGCCATGCTCTTTCTAACCCTCACCTATCCTTTGACCATTTCTTTGTTCCCCCGGCCGCCTTTTAGGCCATTTCCAATCCTTCACTCTTCAACTCATCAAATCCTCTTATACCCCATAAAAGGGACTTTGATTTTACCCACCCCTTCTTACACCTTTGCAGCCACAACTGTCCTAATCGCTTCCATCCCCCACCAATTAAGGCAGCTCAGCAATAATATAATAGGTAATATAATATGGTCGCTCAATACAGTAGTGTATAGTGCATTGAGCTCCAAGAAGGGTGGGAACCCAGTGTAAAAAAAAAAATGTAAACGAGGGTAGAAAAACGACCGTTTATTTCATCGCTTCCTCCTCCCAGTACATGTAAATATACAAAGAATTGATGAAGGGAAAATCTGTCGTTCCATTCATGATTCCAGGGGAAAGCAACAAGGGGAGAGAGGGGAAAATGGACAGTCAGCACAAAACAGTATCATACACACATCAGTCAAAATTGACAGCATCAGTCATTCACTATCCATGCCTCTTCACTAATATCCCTGTGGGGTATTTGGGAAGAAATTATTGGGGTAGTTCCCAACTTGAAATGGGAAGATGGAAAATGCAACTTGCAACTTTGCCTGCGTCCAGGACTTAACAATATCCCTATGACACCTTTCAAGTGTGTGCATGGATAATGCATAAGATGTACATTATCCTCATTTTAGGCAATTTGTGCCAGCAAAATCAGTGAACAAAACTTTGAGGCAAAGCCCCATTCCCAAGCAAGTTCACTCCTCAGTTATGTCTAGGCACACAAGGCAAGTTTTCAGCTGTTTCCTTGAGCAGAAAGTCGAATGAGAAAGGATGAATGACATAGATGACAGATACATGTAAAAAAAAATGTAGCACCACCTTCTTACTAGACCCCAACAGAAAATAATGATGAGACACCAGAGTCCTTGTGCTTAAAGACACTTGTTTGCAGAAATGGCCTTCGTCAATCAATCTCAGGGAGGGGAGAGAACTTTATTATAAGGGAACACTAAAAATATATTCCTGGCCATTTAATAATAATGATAATAATAATAATAGTTGGAAAAAAATTTTTTTTGCAGTACATATGAATGTGACTCGTGATACATCTCACTAAAAGGGAACAAAATTTTCATTTAATTTGCAATGGGTCCAACGACCAGTCGTTGAATGCTTCTTCTCATGAAAAATAAATAACAAGACTCAACACAATTCAATATCATCTTCATAAGAGAGTGTTTTGACAGGGAGGGTATTAGAGCTATAACTTCCATGATATTCCTGGAATGCAGAAGAAAAGAAAGATGAGACCCTGGTGTAGTGGTCATTCGTTGCTCTCACTGTTCCTACTCAAATTGCACAGGATACAACTAAATAAACAGAATAGAAGGTGCACAGTGAGAAAGGAGAAGATTGATGATTAAATTCCTTTCAACTTCATCTTTTGATTTTTTTGGAGGAGAAGGAGGAATTTTGTTATGTGAGGACACTGGGTTCATCCTCCCATGCATCACTATCATATTCACTCTCAGTGGCTGAATCAGAATCAGATAGCTCAATGGCAACACGTCGTGCCAAGATGGATGCCACATCATGTAATGGGGCACCTCGTTCCACTTCTCTCTGCTTTTGTTCCACTTTCCTTAGTTGGATACCTGTGGAAAAAAAAACAATGTCTTTGCAAACCACTTCTTATGCCTCATAACATTGGTGTGGAAATTATATAATAAAGAAAGGGCTAAACCATCTCTGATGGCCTTGAGTAGGTCGCTTCTGGCATCACAGAGTGGTGCAGGAGCTGAAACCTTCACAGGAGATGATGATTGGATCTTCACAGCTTGAGGGACATCCCCATTTGCTAGGGGCTTATCCTCTTTTCCTAAACTTTCTCCATTCACAGGTAGGGGTGGGGGTGGAGGTGGGGGTGGAGGGGCCACCAATTCTGTAGGTGGTGGAAGTGGGGGCGGTGGTGGGGTCACCGGGGGAGGAGGAGGTGGTAGGGTTTCCATCATCGAGTTAGGCTCCATAACCATTGGCATAGTAACTGATGGGGATCCTGTCATTGATGATAGACTTCCTCCTCCTACATAATTAAAATGCAGCATAACAGCCTCAATCCCACAAGCAGCATTTTACATTTCATGGTCACAGTGAAATATGTGCAGAAATGGCAGCTCCTACAGTGTAAGGAGCACTTAAAATGAGGCTAGCCATGACAAAGAGATGCTTACCTGAATTCATCATGTGCACATGGATTGGTCCATTAGGTAAAGAAGCATTGGCCTCAGGAGGTGGAGGTGGAGGAGGGAGGTTTTCCCTGCCTAGGCTTCCTGCTCGTGATGAGCGAGTGGGAGTCCCCATCATGGGATACTGTGGGCTTGAAATGGGGCTTTCCTGTCCCAGTCCAGGTGGAGCAGGTGGAGGTTGATTTGGACGAGGAGAATTGTGACCTCGACCCATGGTTCGACTAGAGATGGGTGATCCCACTGCGTATGGAGGGGGGGGGTATCCCGGGTAGCCCGAGTCATTATAAGGAGGTGGGGTTTGATGCTGATGCATGGCAGGAAGATGATACCCATCCCCTGCATTGGTGGGTGTGTGAGTGACATGAAAATTATCTTTCTGGATGTAGGTCCCTTCATCATGAGCATAGGATATTGTGGGACCTCGGAATTCAATGCTGTTTGGACGGGATGGGATCCCACCTCCTCCAGAATCTATTGATGAGTTGTGCATGCTCTCTCCTCCACTCTGTAGATGGAGAGAAGGAAGGAATGGCATTGAAGTGCAATTTCTTTTAACATCAAACCTAAATTTACAAAATATACAAAGCATTCAATAAGACGTTACAGCATTTTATTTTGTAGATAAAACCTAAACCTAACAACAAAGAATAACCAGAAGGTACTCTACAAGGTGATCCATAAGTCAGGTTACATAGGGGTAATCCTTATTATTGTTGCAGGCGTGTGAATGCTTGCAGTGATGTCTTTGTCAATTGAAGAACGTATTGAGGTGGTGCTGTTGGTGGCTAATGGCAGTTAGAGACATATTGCTGATGAGTTTAACTGGAAGCACCCAGAATAAAGACATTCCCTAAGTAACCTGACTTATGAATCACCATGTACTTGTTGTATAGTATGGGACAATCAGTTTTGGCCAATTTTTTTTTTACAAAGGGGTTAATGATTCAAAAGTGGCCATATTATCACCTCAGTTCAATGAGGTTCTCACTAACTTTTTAGGAAATGAAAATTGATTTAATTCCATGACAATCATCTACATAAAAAATACTTCCATGGGATGCATTGCTATTGCAGTGAACACTTGTAAACAGGCCCACCTTCAAGTGGAAATGAGTCATTACATTTATGGAATAAAATTTGCAATTTTGGCAATTGGCACCATGCTTCCCCAGTTTGCAATGGAGGAACTCAACAAAAGGAATGAAGATAGTAGGCATTGACCTTTTGCAGATAATAGTAAATTTTGTTTTCTTACAGCACTTCTGAGAGAAAAATAATAGATCGGCTTTTGTAACTCATGTTATATTTAGAGGACGCAATCTCTCCACGAGCCAATTTTATAAACAGAAGAAATAGTAAATCTACTTTATCATAAGAAAGACCTAATCACTACTTCACTAGCTTTCAGTGCTAATATAAAGAAGATGTCTCATGATGTCTAAACTCCAGAATCTATTTTCAGAAAGTAATACAGTGGAAACTCAAACTTTAACCCTTTCATGGCTGAATTAAGAAGTAGGACATTTTTTCACAGCTTTTTTCTATTGAACAAGGCCCAGCTAAAGACAGAGCTTGCAGAAAATTTAAAATATTTATTCATCTATTGAAAAATTAAATTTTTTAATTACAAGAATCATCAACCAAAAATATTGAATAACAGGTCATTGTTCACACATGGAAAGTCCCTAAAACTTGGCCATTGTCCTAATTTTATCCATTCATTCTAGCAGCATGTTCGAATATTTTTCCCTTTTCCAAAAAAAAAGGGAAAAAATGTTTACTTTTTTGTTCTAAATTCCATTTCACAAAAAAATAAAAAATATTAGGTCACAACTTTTCTTTTTGATCCAATTTGCCTGAACTATAACCTATTTGAACAAGTGATGCATCACCGAAGAGCTCTTTTCAAGAGCTATTACACAATGCCATATAAAACAGGTTTTGCTCAAAGGTAATAGCAAGAGCAGTCTCAAAAGATATGATCCATATAACGATCATATGCCATGAAAGGGTTAAGGGACCGGGCAAATTGTTTTGAGTTATTTGAAGCTTGACCTAACAGGAATAGCCTCTACCCTTAGGGAAAATATTTTAGGCCAAGGGATATAACCAGAGGGTGTTTTTTCCATCCACATGAATCTGATTTCAATTAGTGACAAGCAGCCGCAGGCCGCTATGCTTGCCATCTAATGGGCAGAAATTAGAAAATGTTTACATGAAGATATGAAGCAGTTTGGCTCAAACTAAACATTAAATTTTCTTCTTTCAAATGGTGTAAAGCATGTCTCAATCAAATTTAGCATTATGAAATAATTATTTTCAAGAGGTGGGCAGGACTCTTGACATACCCTGTAGTATTTGCCATCAACAGGGTGAGTCTATTAAAAGGAGATTCAAAGTATACCAACATTTTTATGGCATAGCCTATGGCATAGAGTAGCATAGCCTTGTAGGCCTGGCCAATGGCATAGCATCATAGGCCTCGTGCATTAGGGATGACAGCCATCATAATTTTCGGCCTCTTTCAATTTTTATTGCCTAGCCTATGGCAGTGAATGGCCTTGTAGGCCTGGTGCTTTTGGCTGTGAACGGCCTGGAATGGCATAGCATCGTAGGCTCACGCGGTAGGGGTGACAGCCACTGCAACTTTCAGCCTCTTTCAATTAAAGTATATGATGATCGACTTTGTGACATTATCACTGACTTTTTCATTTGTGCAGAAACTTTCATATTCAATATGCAAAATTAATACATCACAAAGCCTTTAAAATTTTTTCAGTTTTGTCTTCAGCCGACAGGATATTAGTCATTTGACATTATATTAGTCTAAAGGAATTAGCAATCAAGAGGAAGTTTTCCAATTTGCTAATCACCTCAAACAACTTGACAGACAATTCACTTTGTGAGAGGAGGAATTTTTTCAAAACGGAAAGTGCTTCATTGGCATTGCTCAAAGATGGTGATGGAGCATTGTACATTACCTCCTGCTCTTCATTGCTCATTCCTGGACTCACTCATTTTAGCATTCTTTGATGTTGGCAATGATAGATGCTTCAGTGACTGGCTTAGTCACTGTGGCATCCCATTAACCCTATGTAAAAAACCTGCAAGTCTAAAAAAAATACAATTTCTTCCTCCTTTACAGCCCAAAATCTTGTTGCCATTGAGTTAACCATGAGAAAATTGTAATCAGGAATGAAAATGTGGAAAATCCAAATATTCAAGATAAGCAAATTAGAGTGAAACTGAATATTTAACATGGTGCTCTACAGCATTCTGTTGGCACCAAGCATTGAACTTCGAAATAAGCAGAATTTCAACTTATCAGGGTTCGAGTTAACAAGTTTTCACTGTAATATGAAAAGTTAGTCATGACTTTCATTACACATTTTGAAGAGCCAAAGAATACTATATCTAAAATGTTTTTGGATTCTTTCCAGTTTTGACACATTGCAACTGAATGCAGTCTGAGCACAGTGTGGCAATATCAAATACTCCATTGTCCATTTTTGATTGGCATCAAGTGTAGGATTTCACATTCTGACAATTTTTCCCCCATATCCACAGAATGACCCAAATGGTGTTTCAGTAATTCAGAACTTTTTCAAAGTTTCACATGAAATATTGAAAGAGGATATAATTTTGAAATGACTTTCTTTTAATTTGCCTGAGTTTCATACAGAACCTTATTAAAATCACATAACATGTCAACAGATACCAAGATGTATAGGGTTTTGACATTAAGTAACCCACAAACCATAATCTAAAAGAGCAAATTGTTAGACATACAGTTTCTAACAATTTGCCTTCTCTTAATAACCTTCCCTTGCAATACCAATTTGAAATACAAGAGGTCAAATAGAATAAGAGGTAAGGTTCTTGTGTCAGTGCAGAGGCTCTTTACCTGGGGACTGTGCATCGGTGAAGGTGTATAAATGCCCTGAGGTGACTTGATGAGATATTCTCCATGGGCCACAGCTTTTTGTCGCTGAATTTCTCTTGTGTCGTGAGGGAGACGTGGTTTTCGTTTGTGACGGCCTCCACCTTCTGACCGCGGTCGATGAAGCTAAAATGAGAGGAAGTAGCTTCAATCCTTTTCAACCTGAACACTGAAACAGAATGACCTGTGCATTCCACCATTAGAGATGCAGTCGAATTGACCTCTGATCTGTCATTGCTGAGTTGAAAACTTTTGTTTTAATAAATGGGAAAGACAGCAAGAAAAGTTCAATTCTTCATCAACACAATTGCTAAAGCTTGTTCTGCATGAGAACTTGTGTAGTAAAGTAGCTAAACTTCATTTTCATTTTAAAAAACTGCACATTTTACTTAAACAAACTAATTTATAAGTCAAACAATAATGTGGCATGCTTCATCTTGAACTTTTAGTACATTTCATATTGTGGCATTGGCAATCATCACCTCATGAATCACATCAAAAAGCATTTAAATATATTTTTTCTGGGAAGTTAAGGCATATGCAGAACATATACATCACTGGAGGGTATTAACCATGGCATGGACTCCATGACAATGCTAAGTGATAGAATTCTTTCCAAAAATCAACATTATTTTCAGTCAGAAAAGGATTCCTTATCCTTACTTGCATCTCTAGAGGTTGATTGCACAGTACATCATAGATCATCCAAAGAGTATCAAGTCAATAAATACAATCAAGCTACAAAAAGAAACAAGGACTATAATTAGAGAACACAATCAGGGATTTCCAAACGTCCCCATACTAAACAAGGATATATTCCCATTCTCTTACTCAAGGTCATTCTATCCATAAAAAATAGATGGAAATAATCTTCACCAAGGCATAAACTCAATTCAAAACTCACAAGATTCAATGCAAGATACACAGGTCCTCAATTTGAAATCCATGCAATAAAAAAAGTCCATCAACTCAATTGAAACATGGCCATGCTGAGAGAACAATGCAAACATAAAGTGGAGAGTTGATGACAAAGGCCTTGCCTCCTGCGGGGGAAGAGGGAGCGTGAGCCCCAGAATTGGAGGCTGTTGTTGATTTTGCTGAACCAGCTGCAGCTGCATTACATCCAAGTGACACGAAGTAGGAATGGCAGAAAAAACAACGAACCCGAAATGACAACATCACACTTGGAATACCATACAACACTGCAAAAGATCTGCTTTACCTCTATCCAAAAGAGCTGCAAAAGAAGTGGCAAAGGTAAAGGAGGGGAGAAAGGAAACTGAAACTCACCCGCTTTCCTTTGTCGTGAAGGATGCGCTCTGTGTCCTTGAGCATCTCTTGCCGCCACAAGTCAAAAAAGTAACCTGGATCAGTGTAGAACTTCAACCCATCCTTTTTGTCATCCCTAGAAGAAAAATCTTTAGTATATATTGTGAAAAAAACAAGCAGAATAAGTGTGACCCAGCAACTTTTCTAAATGTGTTGGACTGACCCTTGTCTAATCATCCAGCCAAAAGGAAAAGAGTTTAGCTGAATTCTCTAATATCTTGATCTAACCTGGGCATTTTCAAGTCACCATCACTATTCAATGACCACACCAAACATACTGATGACTGCAGTACTGTGAAACTTAGTGTGGAGATTAATTTGACCATGGGAAAGACCATGCACAAAGTCTAACCAAGGTCACTTTCAGAGACTGCATGGTCAGCAGATACTATAAACAATAGTGGGCTGCAAGATTTCCTGAACTCACCCAAGCAGACTTTTGGCTTAGCAGTTTTTTTTAGAGGCATAGCTTGCCATAATGCCCCCCACCATACTCCACAAGTTGGAGAGCATATGCCAGGAAGTTCACTCCATACCTCAGGGCATGCTCTAAGCAACAGTGTAGAATGTGTTGCCAAACTTTGAGACAATCGTTGTTATGATGGGACCCACAATGAACAAAATCTATAAACAATTTCCTTTGACATCGCCAACATGAATGCAGTAAAAAAAATTCTTAAAATGGGGAGGGCAGATATGAGAGGTGTTCCAAAAGTTTGAAATTGATAGTGGTAGCATCTTAGGAAGAGAAAGTTGAAGCAGTGACATCACAAATGAGAGAGGACCCTCATATCACATATCAGCAGATGGACCAAAAGTGGGAATTGCATGAGCAGCCCTGATGAAAATTTTTCATCAAAATATAACAGGGCTGTACCAATACAAAAATTCGGCCGGTATACCAATTCCTGAAATCTGTTCTTGAAAGATGACCAATGCTGATACTGATCTTTGTGCATGTCTATGGGATAGGTCTTTTTTTTTTTGCAGAGTTTTGATTTTTTGCAAAATCAATGATTTTTTTCACATGTATAAATGACAAATTTCAGTACATTTTCTTTTTCCACATATGAAAGCTTTTATTTTGAGAAATTCAAGTTTTTCCTCCCCCAAACAATATATTTCATATTTGAGGTGGGAACCATTCCTGATCTATTATGGTTACAAGTAGATGATGTGAGTGTGAAAGAGTGGGAGAAAGCCCTCCCAGAACACTGGGATCAAACTTTTGGGAAGAATACTTCACACTGTCCAAAGAGTAAACTTGAATTAGGTGCATCAGTTCTACATTGAGCATGAAGTGAAAAGCCTCTACAATGACCCTTTTTAAAATAAAATCATGAGTTTTTCCAAAATCTTCAAAATCACCAAAAATCACAAATTAGGCATGAATATCAAATTCTTTTTTCACTGTAGGTGTTACATTGCCAGGAAGGATTTATATAGCTTCTTGTTTGGGGCACTTGTTTGAATCTATGTAGAAGTACTGCTTTAGCATTCTGCATGACAATTACATGGCCTAATGTTAACGTTAGGCCTCTGCTCATTTAAGGGAAGCAAGTCCATTCAAGGTTTTAGCATTTGTTTTAGAAAAATTCAACAGCAAGGGCTTCTTAGATGATTCAATGGGAATGCAGCAGCTTCTCACATGTGCTCCTATGTCTGCTGCCATTTAGTGGGAAGATATTGCACTCCTGATCCTGAATCACTTATGGCTATGTGCTTTCGAGTTTCAAATTCTGTTCTCTGGAACAAATGCAGATCATGTCTACCACTGTCTCCTTGTAGGAGTTCCCTGGCCAGAAAATCGAAATGGGAAGAGATGCGATGCATGTTCAGCATACAAAAACAAACTCGGAAGATCAACAGGTCCAAAGATTGATTTTGCCGATTTCATGAAAAACACGTGAATCAGTCCGTGTCTGATCTCTGATCTAAGGATTGCCACAGCCCTAAAATATACAGATCTAGAGGATTTTTTGTCATTGCATTCCTCCTTACCTGAATAAAGACACAGGAGTAAACCACATTGAATTTTGCTGCTTGATGATAAAGAATTTATATGAAGGGAGGTCAAAGCACCTAAATAACATCATCACATATGAATAAGTTTGGTTCTACCATCATGACACTCCCACTGGAAGCAAAACATGATGTGGGGGTTCCAAGATGAGTAACCACCTGTGAAATTCATTAGACCTTGAGGTGTCTGAAAGAACATGCATGGTTTTCTCATCTTAGTACAAGACATTTTGAAGTTAATCAGCCATGATGAGTGACATAAAGTTACTTTAGGTTGATTTAAAGATACTTGCATGTCTAAAGTGTTTGAGTTCATGAGAGAACAAGAACTAAATATAAAATTTCAGGAAACCATACTATACCAAAACAATAATCCAGCAATTTGAACCACTAGAAAAAAGTTTTTGGAGAATCTGGAGTTCAGATGCTGCCTCTCTCCGCACATTCTCCTGATTTCGCTTCATGTGAATTCTGGCTCCTCAAAAAAATTAAATAGTCACTGAGGGAAAGATTTAAGTCCAGAGAGGAGTCTTAAGGTATAATGAACTTCATTCACCACAAAAAACTTGAAAGCTTGCTCTGAAAGCTGGTTCAGCAGACTGAAGCAAGGTATATCTGCTGATAGAAGATACTTCATTAAGTGGTAGAAGTTTGGAATAAATTGAGTTTCTGGAAGGATTAAAGTTGCAAACATTTTTTAACAACTCTCATATATCTGAAAACTTTCCAAATAATATTTTTGAAAAGCAGATAAATCAGCACTCTTTAGTTAAGGGGTTAAAAGAACAAATTTCAAGAAATCATACGGTTAAGGGAGTACAACCTACCAGAATTAAGAGGAATTGAATGCATTGATGAAACCAAGTCCCACTATTAAAGGTTCAGTGCTCTGCCATGATTTCCAGAAGAATAGCGATGACTTGGTCTTTATTTTCAATGGCATCATTTTGCTTTTAGTTGCATCTTTACTAAGGCTAAACTTCTACACAATCAGGCCATTCTCATGATTCCCATTATGAAGTACACATTAAACCAATTCTGAGTGGCAGGTATGTGAAGAAACTGATTTTACTTTCATTTTCTTCTTCCCTGATTGAAAGTACTAATTGACAGATCCTGATTGATGGTACAACTTGATATGGAGATATTTGTTCAATTATTCCAACATGTTTCATTTTCAGTAAATTAGTGAATGGTTTTTGTATTTTCACAGAAGTAACAAATGAAGTGCCAATTCTCAACTTAGTTCCAGAAGTCATTTTTGACATTTGGGAGTGACTTGCAAGAGTGTCATGATTTCATGTATGTTTCATACTTGATTTGGTCATGTATCTTATCAAGTGTGACATATATGCCTCACCATATACTAGATAAACATATTAAATCATAAGTTTCTTACTTGCCCCATCATATCTTTTACATACATGCTTTTTTTTTTATCAAATTCTTATATGGCCTTGCTATATATGATTATATGCTAATTGTTTCAATAGCAATATATTATCAAATAAATTTTTCCATGTATGTTCATATAATATCATACATGACAGACCATATATGTCAATATATCATGAATGCCCATTTTTCAAAATAATCATACATTATTTTCCTGTATATCATATATGAGTAAATATTGGAAATTTTAAATCAGCTGAAATTTCTAACTAGGTGCACATAATGTAGAAAATGATGCAAGATTCATCCCTTTGAGGGCTGTCATTGAATGAAAAAGGGAAAGTAACAATGGGTCAATGCTGCTTGATATTGTCTCTGGGCAGTTGGGGCTGCTCAAGCAATAAACCTTTGCATTACCTCCACTCAGAGCAGACCCTTCTGGGCCAGTGGAGAAATAATGAGTGGGATTTTATTAACTCCTGGAGTAAGGGAAGCCTCAAATACCATCTAAACTCATGGTGCTTGGCATACAAATCAACAAGATCCCATATTATAACAAGACTCACTCACCTGTATGGATTCAGCTTAGATAAGGGTGGTGGCTGATCACAGAGCTGATAGGTCTCGACCATGGCAGCAGGCATAGTTGACCTTGATACCACTTGCTGATCAAACACTGCAGAGCTCTTGAATGCTTTCCTCTGGTGAATGTCTGTTAATTGCACTAAAATAATGACATAAAAAAATATTTTAGACATCAATTCATCTTCAAGACTTCACAGGATAGCTAGACAGCATAAGAAACAACCTTCTTCCACACTGCTGTCCAACTGTGTGACTTTGACAGAGAGACGATCAATGCGTCCCTTAAGAGAAGCAGCTCTCTCGCCAAGTGATTCTGCTTCCCTATACAGCTCCCCAAACAAGTCCTCAGCATGTCTGCTGAGACTGGAGAGTTGTCGTATCACATTTGCCAATGTCCCATTAGTCACTTCTTCCAACTCATTTGGCACACCATAACCTGACCCTTCTAAAGTCCCTCTAGCCACAAAAGCAGGCTCAACCTCTCTGTATGGTAGTGGCATAGTTCCTCTAGTATTAGGGGTTGACCTTTTCCTTCTCTTTTCAACTTCTCATGAGGTGCAACATCTCTGGAGTGGGATACAGCTTAGTTTGGGATAAACAAAGCTGTAGACCAAGCAATGTGAGGCACAAGAGCAGGAGCTGAGGCAGGTCCACTCAGCAGAGAAACGTAGCCTCTTGGCTATGATGATAACATGGCATGAATAGCCAAGTTCTATGCCAATATACCTGCCTCAAAGAAAGTCCAAAGTGTCGTTAGATAGGCCTACTAGACACTTAACAAACAGACTTCTGAGAGAGTCAGAGTCAATATTTTAAAAATTCTAGTTTTATTTCCTTCCCTGGAGGTAGGGTCAGATGAGGTAATACATGTAGTTCTCAGTTTAGCACTTCTGAGTAGCCTATATAGCCGACAAGCTCCTGTTAATGTTTACCTTTCCTTGAGATTTGAATATTTGACAACATGTAATCATGTTCCAAGTTTGGATCAAAATTGTGTCAGCATGTATCTTGATTCTGGCTACTAAGTTAAGAGTCTTTGCTCACAACAATTCTGTGTTGCTGCAAAAATATGCTAATAGTAAGGTAGGTGTAAGATGTCACACCTCACACTGAAAATGAAAATATAAATTGTGCAACAACATTGCTATAACATTTTACATTTAAAAATCTCAATTGTTTTATTTCATGAAGAGCTCATTTTTCAACCAAAACAATATTTCCCATGGGACCATATATGATTAATTAAAACCAGTCTATCAGGTATGGACTTGGTGGAAGATTGAGTTCTACTCTTAATAAGTTCCTTTTTATTGCAAAAAAAAAAAGAAAAAAAGAGACATTAACTTCACTGATTTCCTAAAGTTGAACATACAAAGGATAATTATGAAAAACTGAATGCCGGATGCAATTTATATTAATAAGGACATTGGAACACAAAATGGGCAACACCCTTTAACTCACTTAGTCATATAAGGTCTTAAGTTTTGGGATGTATTCTTCCCTTTCTTCACTTTTCAGATATAGGGCTACTTACTCACTGTTTGGAGTTAAAACTACCTAATGGCCATCCTCATACAAGTAATCTGTAAAATTTGTCCAAAAAACTATTATTGCTACAAAAGCCCAAAAGCACTTCCTGTTCTTGCTGACTCCTAGTCAAAACCTAACTTCTCACCCTACTCTATCTTCAAGTCTATAGATAGCAAAAGATCCCCATTTTGAAAATGTTAACGTATTTGCTAGAGAGGGAAGCATGATATCATGCTGGATGTTGAGTATGCTCAGCATATTGTGCAAATAAACCTTACTTAGTCAATTGGAAAAAGTCAGTCTAGGTCTATAAAACGATGCGAACCCGAACATGTCTGGAATCAAAAATCACGCGCATTGTTCTGATTGTAAGTCTTAGGTTCCCAGTATGAAGAGTGCAGTGAAACAAAGGATATTCGTGGAATCTGCTTGGGGGAGGAAGTTGAATACACCCACTCCATGAATACGCCTCTGCTCCGCCATATTTTCTTATCCACAGGGATGGAAGTAGAGGTGTAGTTTTTCCCCTTCGTACCCGAATCTCGTTGAAGTTCTCCATCAACCTAATCCCACTTACCTGCACACTAATATTCCCCTGCATTTATCACTGCGAAAGAATTAAAGTGCATTCGAATAACTCCTCAAGTTCCCAAACAGCACAGTCTTTTGTTTTTGTCATAGAATGAGCAACAATGGCTTGAGGTACTTAATATGAATAAATTACATTTCCAAATTCAAACCTCGCAGTGTTAAGACTAATGGTCTTTGCGTCAGGATAAATTTTCCTCTTTGTTACAATCAGCTGTACAAAAGAACCTGGGAAAAGAAAGAAGCTGTACAAAAGAATCACTCGTCTGTCATAGAAATTTACCTAGATATAGCAAGATGGCGGCAATGCTGGCGCTGCGTGATTATGGGGACTCCGACAGTGCAGAGGAAGAAGGGGAGAGCGGAGAGAGAACCAGGCCTAGAGAAGGGCAAACAGAATCCCCGGAGCTCGTCACTCCTTTTCACTCCACTTTTAAGTTAAATAAATCTCTTGGTCCTCTCACCCTCAACGCTGCACCTGAAGTAGCTCCCAACGTGAGTCGGAATACGGAGGCCCACTTCAATCTTTAAGTGCAGACTACGTCGTTTTTGCTTAGGCCTAGAGTTGGCATTTGGCAAGCCCTGAACCTTTCTCTACTACCCCTTGAGCCTATAAGCTGATGAGTGTAGGCCAGTTCAGGGTTCTAGCTAGGATGTTATATATTTTTTAACTTCGCCGTGGGCATATACTCCAACCTCCTTCCCCTACCTAAGTTTCGAAGATTTCCCAATCCATTCTGATGTATGTGCAGATTGCGTTAGTTTTGCTGCCAGACACAGCCACTGAATATTTTAAGTCCTTGTGAGGAAGACCTTTCAAAGAGGTTAGTGTGAGGCTTGTTCAGCCATGAAGCTTTCAGATGATTTCTCAGTTGTGTTGTAATGCACTTCAGGGTTAAGGAGATTCATTCATAATATGCAATAAACATAAGAGATATCTCAGCAACCTTACTCTTGTGATAACCTGTAAGCAACCTTCATGCTCACTAATAGAAAACCATGGGTGAGACTCTGATGGACAGCAACCCTATCACAAGCAATATGTCAATAGGGTTTGCATGCATCCAAGGCCTTGTAGAGCATTGTGCCATATACAAATTTGGGAATTTCAGCTGTGTCCATACAATGTTTCCTGTATGATGCAGCCAGGAACAGCTACAGCATGCTTTGCAAGTATAGCACCTGAAAGGACTACTAAGGTTTTCTGAATTCAGCTTGTGAGAGGGAACAAGATGTGAAAACATTTTGGGGTGTGTTCCCAGATGGGATTGGAGAGGAGTATGACACTTGTGCTAAGCATTTTGTGTGCTCATAGCTTTAGAAGGACCGCTTGCAAATAGGCTCATACAAGTGCTTAACTGGCTCATCAGTCCATACTTTGGTACAGCTGAATAACTTGGATTGTCTTGGCAGTTCCATGTTAGTCTCCCTCAATTGAGGATATACCAAGGGAGAAAGATTGCACATTTGACCAGCAGCTACTTCTATTTTATTTATTAATTGGGCAGCAACAAAAATTCATAAATTTTAACTGGGTAGACCACCCAGTTAAGAAAGTCTAGCTATAACCCTGCAATTGTAGATATTCTAAGGTATTACGTATTAGTGATATAAATATATTTGAGGAGTACATGGCCATTAAGACCTTTACTTACTGTACTGATTTATGTTTTGTAGGATTCTTTGGATCGTAGACTCCATATTGACCCAACAACCAAGGAGTTGAGCTACAATCCCAAATATGAAGAGCTGTTTGCCCCACATGTTGGACCTCTAAATCCATTCCTAACACAGCAACAAAGAGCACACAAGAATACTCTCTCTGGATTTGTTGAACCGGCCCATCTCAATGAATTCCAATTTGAAAACCAAAGGAGAACTTTTCAAAGCTATGGTGAGGGTCTTCTTGCCTTGATATGGCTATATTTTCAATTTTTGGGGGCCATTAGGGATATGGGACTCTTTTTCCCAACCATTACATGTTACCACACTCACTGTGGTAGCCTATTTTGTCTTTCCTCTGGACTTGAGACTATCAGGGCTTTTTTTATAATTTCAAATTTGCTTACATCCAAGGATGACATAATTTGTGGACAGGCTTAATGCTGTACATTTACTAGAGAAGTTTTGGCACAGATGCTTCATAATATTAGGGGCAAAACATCTATGTATTGTGTGTTACATGTCTCCAGGTACTGGTGCTTCAATGTAGCTAATGTGTTAATGCATTAATATACCTGGAAGCAGATTTTTGTTGCTAAGGTTGTGATCATGAATAAATGAAACTTTCCAAGCTTCATGTTAGGAGGAGCTTTGGAGAATTATGAAGTTGCTCAACTTATCTTTTGAGTGTGCATGTAAAATTGATTTTTTTGTTTCCCCAGGCATTGGAGTGAAACACCATCCACCTACTAGTGTACATAGTTGGGCAAAGATGTTGCTACTTGGTCATGGTGTTCAGAGCTATATATACAGGGTGGGGCAGGTAAATTGGGACAAACTATAATGGAAATTAAAAAGACATGTTTTGCAAGCAAAAATCAATATATTGAAATGAAAATTGGCACAGAAGCAGTTCAAATGATACAGTTTCGAATTATTCAATGTAGTCTCCATTGTTGGCGACGACAGACTCGAGGCGAGTGCGGAAGGAAGCACAGGCCTTGGCGACGATGGCCTTGTCCATTTGGGTCATCACCTTGTGAACCGCATCCTTGACTGACTGGATGGTGTTGTGGGGGACTTTATTAACATCTCTCTCAACAACGCCCCACACATAGTAGTCGAGGGGGTTGCAGTCTGGGGAGTTGGGGGGCCAAAGGTCAGGACCCCAGTGGCTGGGGACGTTAAGCGTCAGCCATGCCTGTGTCTTCTTGGCCTTGTGGGCTGGAGCTGAGTCCTGTTGGAAGACATACTTCCTACCTGCAGCCACCATGCCCATCCAAGGCTTCACGACGGTCTCCAGGACATTGATGTACTGTATGTCTTCCAACAGGACTCAGCTCCAGCCCACAAGGCCAAGAAGACACAGGCATGGCTGACGCTTAACGTCCCCAGCCACTGGGGTCCTGACCTTTGGCCCCCCAACTCCCCAGACTGCAACCCCCTCGACTACTATGTGTGGGGCGTTGTTGAGAGAGATGTTAATAAAGTCCCCCACAACACCATCCAGTCAGTCAAGGATGCGGTTCACAAGGTGATGACCCAAATGGACAAGGCCATCGTCGCCAAGGCCTGTGCTTCCTTCCGCACTCGCCTCGAGTCTGTCGTCGCCAACAATGGAGACTACATTGAATAATTCGAAACTGTATCATTTGAACTGCTTCTGTGCCAATTTTCATTTCAATATATTGATTTTTGCTTGCAAAACATGTCTTTTTAATTTCCATTATAGTTTGTCCCAATTTACCTGCCCCACCCTGTAGGTGGAATGCTAATTTTGTGAAGCTAATATTTATTGGATCAAGAAATATTCACTCCTGATTGCCATGGCTTTTTTTTTAAAGCTCAATTGACTCATAATCGCACTAAATTGGTTTTGCTTTCTCACTGTTTTCACCAAGTGCAGAAAGTAAGCTGTGAATCTAGTCTTTTTTAATCCAAATTTTCCATGACTTGCTCAAGAGGCATAGGCAAAGACCATGCAAAATTGGCTATTTTCTGGTATTGTACAAATGCAAGAGTGCTGAAAATTTTAGCCTGAGCATCATGGGAGGAGGAGAAGGGAAATAGGTTTTTAAGTTGTGTGACATGATGACATAACTATTCCCATGTAAGGCTGCATTGAGCATGGTCAGTGCAGCATTAGGAGACATCAGCTTTGCTCCCACTCATTAACCAGGCAGCCAAACACCTTTGTATTTGGCAATGATCTATGCCTGAACATTGTTTCAGTTCAATAATGTAAAAGGCTACTTGGCTGCAAATGAATGTAAAATTAAACTGAAGCTCTAAACACTGATGTACCAACCTGAACTACCCAAGGAAGACTTGCAGGTTCTTAGAGGAGCGTCTACGCTGTCTCAAAACTATTTTGTTTCATTGGCCTGGGAGAAAGGTGCCTTCATTGGTATTCTGCTTGGGAGTGAACTGCAACAATATGTTCATGTATCCATCAGGTTATGCAGTAGACCCTACAGCAGAGATTGGAGAGGTTGAGAAAGGAGAGATCATTGGTGATGTAGAAGCAGCAAAGGAGCAGAAGTTGAAGACAGTATTTGAATCCACAAAACTTCGGGAAGCTGACAAGCGTAAGAGAGTAAAAAACTCTGACCCCTCTGATGTTGAGGGTTATCTGGGACCCTGGGGTGGCTTTGTTGGTGAGCAGCGTGTCATCAAGCCCACTCCGGTGAATGCCTTCTCCAGAATTCATTCCTTACTCTCTTAAAAGTGGATACCTAACATATTCCTCTTGTAGGAAGAGGCTGAGGAACTGGAGGAGTACTTGGCCAAACGGCAGAAACGAGGGAAGCATGTTGATGATAAACCTATGGAAGAGAAGACCATCTTGCACAGTGAGTGGATTGTCAAAGGAAACTTGAACTTGTTGCCTATTATGGGCATATTCTTTGTATGCAATTTAGAATATTTTCAGTGACATTTTGGCCTTTTTTTATGAGTAAGGAAGCCTTGCTTTTATTTTTGTCTTGAGTTATGCATCTGAACCAAGGGGTTAGTGTCCATTATCAATGCACCTCTTTGAGGAAATGCAAGAAACTTAATACATATAATGAAGGTATGAATTTGTATGAAAAATTTGTTTTCAACTTCTCTTATGAGATGACTACAGATTTATTCTGTCTTGTCCCCTTTTTTTTCATAATTAGAGTGTAGAATATGTAAAGAATATAATTGTACTAGATCACACCTCTGTCCTACAGGATCCACTTTGCTGGTAACAAAATTTCAACAGACATGAAGAACTCAGGATTAACTTTTAATTAGTAGTAAGAGAAAAACTATTAGTAATCATATGTAGAGGGCATTGTTGAGGTCCAAGAGACTGCATAGTCCAATCCAAGTAAGAGCACTAAAGAAGTAACATCGCAAAAAAACAAATTGACTTCTAAATTAATTAATCAATTAACATTTTATATTTTTTGTGCCAGCCTACAGACCCTGACAATTAATCTAAGACCATTTTCACCTTCATATGACCACTCCTTCATAGTTTGGTAATTCAGTTCACTGCATATTGTAATGTAGATTCTTTTAGAATCACAAATTTAGATGGGGAGGACAAGTCAGAGGGTGTGAGTATGAGGCCTCAAAATTTCCAAGTATTTTACTGTCATTTGGGTTCCTAATGATGGTCCTGTTATAATGTATTTGTACAGAGTGGAGCAGAAGATGTTGATTGTTTTTATTTGTAAATATAAGCACACACATAATGTTGCTAAAAAAAAAATGTATTGACAACAGAAGCGTTATTTTTTTGCAAATCATTTGCAGTAACAAAGTTACTGTGTTTGTTCAATGTGGCCACTGCTTTGATGGCAAACTTCCAACTGCCAAATGAAGTTGTTCACCACTTGGTGACAGAATTCTTCACCATGGTTCTACACTGTGCTCAAATTTTTTGTTTAAGTTCCATTAGGCTTTTGGTTCTTGAACACTCCCCTCCTGTTCAAATTGATTCTAAAAGTGCAAGATAGTGTTCATGCTTGAAACCCACCTTGTTCCAAAAAAAAGTTTCAAAGCATCTCTAAATGACTGTCACACTCTTATTTTCCATATATGAAAGCACAATTTTGATTTTTCTGCAGTAACAGACATCCATTGTCTGCCATGTTCTAAAGCACATTCAGCTTATTTTCTACTGCTTACTTAAGCTTCCTGAAAATGGTTAACAAACTGTCAATACTCTGAATTCATTTGTAATAGAATAAAAACTGTCAGCATCTTGTGCTCCACCCTGTATATTCACAGATTCTTGAAATTCCCTTAATCCTTTGATACTACAATTCCACATATGTGGACTAATTCCCATGAATTTCACCAGTTATCTTTAGTATTCTCACAGCTTTATTGTACATCATGTTGGTACATATGCCTCAGGTAATATAAACACATATTATCTCAGGTTTACATATAAATTAAGTTTGAGTGAATTTTTGGTGGTAGACAATTGGTAACACCTAATGGTACCATGGGATTTGCTGCGCATTGCTCAGTTAATTTCATTGAAAAGTATCCCATGAAAAACACATTAAAAGGCATCACAAGAGAATCGGGTCAGGAGTTGAAAAAATATATTCTGGAAATTTTTTGGGAGATTTTAATTCAAATTTTTAAATACTATTCATGATGATAGGTATCCCCTACATAGAAGGCATCTTCTCTCTAGGTCCTTTGGATTGGTCACTTGCTCTGATGAGTATGTTGAGCCAGTCAATCATCAGCAGTGATATTAATACTGCAAGTAGAGATGTGTCTTTCTTTTTTGTACCAGTATTAATTACAGCATATTTAGCTATCCAAAAGAAATGAGTTTAAGTTTTTTATTCATTAATTTTAACAATACTTGGATGCCTTGTTGTGCAGAGATTTTTTCAGTTGCTTCTTCCAACAGTTATAAATCTTCTATTACAGTCTTAGTATTTTAGGCAACCACAACTTTTTGTGAATTAATGCAATGTTAGGTTCAGGTATTATTGCAACAGGCAAAAAAAAGTATTTTTTGACTGTGCATTTGGAAATCTCAAGGCTTTAATTTAACTATGTGATAATTTATATGGCCTCTGGAATTTTTGCTATTGAAAAGTTTACTCATTAAAGGGCTCTATAAGGGCATTGAATAAACATTGCAGTTCAACTCCTTTATGATCATGATCTAAAAATAAATTATAAACACCTTAGATTTTTGGAGTGTGTTTCAACGATGAACTGTAACCAAGTAATTAATTGATCTTTTATCATTGGTAACTTAAATTCTGTTTCATTAAGCTGCTAAGCTGCCCTTCCCCAGCCTCAAACATAAAGTTGTTGGTATCTCCCAAGCATGCAATTTGGAAGTTTTCCTAACTGCAGAATATGATGTGGGGAAAGAAAAGCACAAGTGCCTCTTTTCTATCCTCATGTGATTCCCTTCTGTCCTTTTTTTGTATTTCTTACCTAAACAGGAGAACAAATTCCAACTCTTGCTCCCTTTTTCTTCTCCAATTTTATTTTTCACAGAAATGTCCTGTCAGACTCTATGGGTCTCACCTGGTTTCTCATGGACCCATTGGAAAGGGAGAATCTTCTCTAATCTTTCTATACAAATCATTTGTTGTGGAAAACATATATCTGGGACAGAGACAATCTCTGCTCTGACCAAGGCTATTTTCATGCACCATTCACTCTGCATAGACTAACTTATTCCCAGCTGGTTTGAAAGTTCATTCAAGTATATTTCACAAGAGCATGGCCAAAATAAGTGATGGTTCAAAAAATTTGGAAATTGAAAATGGTTGGAGAACTCTAATCCCTTTTGAGTTACTGGACTCTGCCTGCCTCCTCCTCATCCATACACAAAGGGGAAATCTGAATAAACTTCCAGCAACTCTGTTGGATTGTACTTATTGATTCAAAATATCTTGGGTACAAAAAAAGGTTTTATGGAAATCATTTGCAACAGAAGGCCATTTTGGCCTTTTATAGGATGTGTTTGTCAACAGCTTGCATTTAGTTTTGGTAATAGGTAATTTATATTTATGGGTAATTATCACTGGTTTATAGTTAATTCATCATTATTTTCCAATTTGTTAAATGTAACATCAGAAAATATGAATTTAAGTATTTTGAAACTAGCAAAAATCATTAAGATGACTGCTTGCTGTATTGAAAATGTAAATTGAAGGGTGAAAAGTGTGACCAGCACATATTGTGAGGATGTCCTTCCACAGTGCAAAGGCATTTCATTCCCTTAACATGAGCTCCTCTCCATTTTCAGTATTACACTTCCCTTGAATGATTTCTCATAATTGCTGGTCTTAAATCACCATAACTAACATGATGGAAATTTCAAAAGTCTCTTGGGAACATGTCACCCTATGCTCAATGCTAGATTCATGAAAGCATCGGCTACAAGAGCAGAGATTTTCCCTTATAAAACTAGATGTTTCTTTTAATAATATCCTATCAAAACATCAATGATATCAATGCTGTAAATTCTAAATCTCTTGGAATTAGAAGAATGGAATATGAGGCCCTGTATCTCTAGATGTTTTTGGGCATGTAGAGGTAGTCTGACTATAAATCATAATTGATCTAATTCTTCATTCTCTCCTAGTTAAAGATGACAAAGATTACATGGGTCGGAGCTTCCTCCACATCCCACAAGATGTTGGGATCAACCTAAGGGCTGAGGAGCCCCCTGCAAAATGCTTTCTGCCTAAAAAACTCATTCACACCTGGCAGGGGCATACAAAGGGGGTATCTGCCATCAAATGGTTCCCTAAGTCAGCACATCTACTCCTCTCAGCCTCTATGGATACTAAAATCAAGGTGGGCCCATCAGCTGTTGCTGCTCTATGGCTTTTTGCTAAGGATTCTGTCTCACTAGTATGCTCTAATTCCTCCAGATCTGGGAGGCCTACGGTCAGAGGAGATGCATTCGTTCATACATTGGACATCGACAGGCAGTTAGAGATATCTGCTTTGACAATTCTGGTCAGAATTTCCTATCTGCCTCATATGACCGATTCATCAAACTCTGGAACACTGAAACTGGGCAATGTATTTCCAGGTGTGAAGGTTTCTCCATCACCTCATATTTCTTATACAAGGTGTATCAGAATAGGCTCCCCAAATTTTGGTTTTTCTTAAATTGATCAATAAAAATGATAGAAGTGTAATGTTATAAGCATAAAACAAGCTTTGGCACATTCCCATAGCTCTGTTCTTTATTTGCTCTAATTTAAGGCATGTCTGTAATTGTTCCGTGTCTCTGGGTTTAGTCAGATAGACATCTGCCTTTAAATATCCTTACATCCAATACTTGGCAACAATCCAGTCAAGACCAATTGGAAGGCCTATGCAATGTCCACTACTTGACTTTTGTCTAGTATTGGTTCTTGAGTTATTTAAAGGCAATTGTCTGGGTGACTAAACCCAAGAGCTTGGAAATATTACTGGTACGCATTGAAAGGAAAATCATGACGATACCTTTGGAAATGTTTCATTATGCATACAGTGATTTCCCTAGTTGCTGTCAAGAATATCTCAATGTATGAGGTGAACAGTTTTAAGGCATTCAAAAATTATTTTATCCTGATGTTATTGCTGCAAATAAAGAATAGAGCTAGAGGAATATGTTAATGCTTTTTTTTTTTTTTACTTTTCTGTCATTTTTAGTTCTTGAGTTATGACCAACCAAATCTGGGGGGGTCTTTTCTGATATACCCTGTATTTAAGTTTAACCTTTAGTCTGTACCATTCATTGAATTGTTCCCTGCAGGTTTACAAGTCGTAAGGTGCCCTATTGTGTCAAGTTCAATCCTGATGAGGAGAAGCAGCATCTGTTTGTGGCTGGCACCTCAGACAAGAAGATAGTCTGTGTGAGTTTTTCACTTGCTTTTTTCATGTCGTTTCTAAAAGAAGCATTTTGCCAATTCATATTGTGTTTCTTACAGTGGGACACCCGAAGTGGGGAGATTGTTCAGGAATATGATCGGCACCTGGGTGCAGTGAATACCATCACTTTTGTTGATGACAACCGCCGGTTTGTCTCTACCTCTGATGACAAGTCCATTCGAGTTTGGGAATGGTATGGCACTTTCCATGCAACTGACATTCATGACTTTTTGGTCGGCCTTGAGATGTTGACATTTCTTCTCATGACCATCTGACAGGGACATCCCTGTGGACATGAAGTACATAGCAGATCCATCAATGCATTCCATGCCAGCTGTGACTCTCTCTCCAAATCAGAAGTGGTTGGCCATGCAGAGCATGGACAACAAAATTGCCATCTTCTCAGCCATCAATCGCTTCAAGTACCACCGAAAGAAGACCTTCAAGGGCCACATGGTGGCTGGATATGCATGCTCCATTGATTTCTCTCCTGAAATGAGGTACTTGAAATGAGATAGGATGCTTCCTCCAAGAGAATTGGCAAATGGAACTGCAGGAGATGTATTTCTCTTGTTTCAGTTTCTTAATCTCTGGTGATGCAGATGGAAAGGTCTTTGTCTGGGACTGGAAGACAACCAAATTATTGACAAAATGGAAGGCACATGACAATGTGTGCATTTCAGTTCTCTGGCATCCTCATGAAACTTCCAAAGTAGTCTCAGCCGGCTGGGATGGACTCATCAAATACTGGGACTGATCAAATGGTATGGAAAAATTTAAACAAAATCTGTGCATGATGAAACTTTACTAAGGTTAACACTTCACTAAGCAAGCTATTGTTTTGTTTTTGCCAAATTGAACTTGAAGGGGTAGGAATCAGAAGTTGGATGCAATGTGGGATTGTTCAAAGCGATTCAGTTGTAGGGGAATGAGGTCATAAGCAACCTCTTGTCCCATTGCCCAAGATGCCAGCACCTTGCCAATATATGGAGATAGCTTGAACCCCATGCCTAGAAGGGGATAATAATAGTGAGAAATGAGAAAGTAACTTGCTTAGTATATTGCTTAGAATTAAATCATCTTGACCAATATTTCTTGTAATGAAATTTTACCTGAGAATCCAGTGGCAAAGGAAATGTTTGGCCATTGTGGATGTCGATCCAGAATGGACATCTTGTCTGGAGTCATCTGCTTGTCAGATTTGAGTTGCATGGCAGTAAGTTTTGAATTATCCAAAACAAGGATGAAATGAATGAGAAAATGTTCAGGTACAGACGGTGTACATGCAGGTCTCGACGATAGCTGGTCGAGGATCCAAACCAGGAAGATGAGCTGCAACAAATCTAGATGTCCTCTCAACCTCGGCAGATACATCTCCCATGTCCCTCAAGTCTGGGTCCACTGCCACTCCATGATCTGGTGCCACCTTCCCATCAACAGTTATGACCAGCTTGTGCACTCAGTGCTAATGCATTACCTTATTGCATCCCATGGATTTTTTCTTTGGATTATGGGCATCATTAAATTTATTTTCCATGACCTTCATGTGGATGCTCTTCAAACAGCTGACCTTGATGAGACCAGGATACTCCAGTTGGGGCGTAGAATAGAAATGACCAAGAGCCTGGATTTCCATCACCATGGAGACCTGGGATTGGGTGTGGCCTGGCTTGATCTTGAAATAGGGTACAGCCATTTTCATAGGCTGGAGGGGAGCATGATGTATTCCAAGGAAAGACAAGATATTTGAGGACCAGGCTCCTGTACACACAATGAGATTTCGGCATCTGATCTCCTTGCTTTCCCCTTCTCTTTCTCCTGTCACAGTGACCGTGTCACCCATTTCCACTCCCGTGATCTTCATCCCATCCAGGATCTTCCCTCCATTTTTCTGAAATTCTTCCTGCCCCCAATCCATACACACCAATATAAGAAGTGATCTTTGAAGAGGGGTGTCATGTTGAAGCAGTATAATACCTGAACATATCGAATACACTTGTCAGCACGAAGGATCCTGGCATTGCTGTCAAGCAGCCCCCGAAGATCACTGTGGCCATGAACAATCCAGGGAAATTCAATGAGAAGGTCTTGTTTACTCAAAGCACGGTATGTACCCTTGGGACAGGATGCAGCCAGGGAATCCAGACACCTCTCAATGGTCCCGTGGGAGGCCTCATCAGCAATTCGCAACAGGGGGCATTCACTGGACACATCAGCATGCACACAGCGTTTCATTGTACAAATGTAAGGATGAGAATTTTCTTTTAGCCTTCAGCCCAAAATTATTTCTCTACCACTGCCTATTAGTCCAGGTGCGAAAATTTTTTCTTTTATTTCTGGCATTCCTCTTATGGAATCTTAATGCTTTAATTGACATGCAAACGATTGGATTAACGTGGTGGGAAGTAGAAAAATAGGATTCTTCAATAATCGTGTTAGTTAAAATTTCAAAACTATTCTCGCAGAAACCCGCCGTGTTATGATGAGATTCTTGTCATATTTAAATGTCAATCATGTCTATATTCCCTGTGATGTTCCAGTAAACCAAGGACACCCCTGGTATTGGAAAGGTCAATTGGGAAATCGTGGGGGGAGGGGGATTCTTGCACAAGAACTGTCACGAACCCCATATTTCCGATTGAGTGAGAACCTGTCGATTGTGACGATTACCGTGTGTGGAAGTATCTGAAGGTCGATTAAAAGAAAGGAGGGGATGCAGTCATGCCTTGTGATGATGGGATCCAAGGGGTGGGCGTGTTGTAATTGAAGCCAGGCTTGAAGGGAGTCCCTGGCCAATACGGTCTGATGCCTCTCGGGATAAGCCAACCGATAAATCCGGCTCTGCCCGTGACTGCTCCCCCTCGCATGTGGCAGCGGGAACTAACAAGAAAATACTTTGAAAAATCCTCATTTTCCCCTTGAATATGACGAGGCTCATACCTGTTCAATGATGGCGACTCGTAAGGAATCATGACTTGAGAGGTTGACGAGATTCAATCCAGCCCAAGATCCCATGATCCCTGCTCCTATCACGACCACATCCAGGTCCATTTCTTCCCCGTGCAATCCTTCAGCGGACATTTTCACTAGTTTCCACTGAGGACTCCACCACACCTATACATACATGCCAGGACAAGATGTTTCATATAGCCTGAAGGTCAATGGTAGGACGAACGGAAAGAAGAAAAGCCAGTTTTGAGTTCTCCTTGACCTGGGCGCCGTGCGGGTTATCCCAGCGTTAGGCGACACTAGCCGCAAACACTTTTCTTCCCGACCGAAGCGGAAGTAAAGGGGAGTACGTTAGCGTGACGAGAATGGTGTTACATCATGTCTCGGTTTCCTAGTGAGGGTAAAGGATAAGTCTTCCCCCGAGGCGCGCTCATTAATCGATCACTGGACCAGAAACAAGAAGCGATCCTGTTTAACCTTGAATCCGTTGACTGCCGTTCCAACGTCTTTTGGCACTCCCTTTCCCTCCTCCACTTTCATTTCCTTTCGTGGTTCGTGAGGAACAATAACTGTCCTCTTCTCCAACACCCATCCGAGATGGGCAACACCGTCGGAGTCGTTTCCACTGAACAGCGTACAGTGAAAAAGTAAGTTCCTTTAAGAAATGAGGGTAATTGTCGGGTTATTGTACAGTACTCGAACTCGTGAAAGGTATTTTATAATAGTCTGGTCTTTCCCCGTTTCACTCGACGATCTACGAGATTTGGCTGCCACGTTACCGCAACATCAATCGAAATTGAATTTTTAGTGGCAAACGATAGAGTTCTGGGATGATCCTCACTTTGTAAGGATGAGTGGATTCTGCATCTCCTGTTTTTGAGTATCACAATGCGTACATAGCATGCTTATCGATTGTCTGCTTCCGCATCTCCCGACCGGGGCGGTTTGGACTAAAGTCATGTTCTGAAACGGGTGCACAGCATACGGCCCGCAGCCCGCCATGACTGGTGGCGTTCTAAGTGCTACTATCCCACACAGCACAGGGATGTCCCTACCTGGACGACTTGTCCCCTGGTCCTTATAGGATATCCTGAATACATTTTCTTTCGGTAAGGGATATCTTCGGGATATCTAAGAGACTTCTTTTAGACAGCTTCAGTAGATAGCTTAAAGATATCCCTTTCGGGATATCTTTAAGACATCCTTAGTCGAATGTCAAATTATCTTGTCCATGATCCCTCGTGTAAAGGTGCTAAATTTTTTCTCTTGGAGATGTGTCTCCTATGATGGGGCCCCCTTTAGGAACAGGATTTTCCTCCCCCAAAATCGTCACTCTTCATTCGGTCAAGAACTTAAGATTAGGTGTTCCTAGATCAAATAGAGTCATCTTCGAAAATAATGGGTTCTTCTGTGCGGTAGGAAATAAGACCATTGCGGATAGAAAGGCGGCTGCAAGTACTATCTGGAACTTCTCACTTTTCCCAAGGGGATATCTCTGGGACATCTGGGATGTGCTAGTTCTTCAAGAAAGGGACATCTTCGGGATGTCATTGGGCCCAGACATTTTGATATCCCTAAGACGTCCTTACTCCTTGTCTCTGGGACGTCGCACTTGTCCCGAGGGGATATCTTTGGGATATACCTGTGCTATGTGGGTATGGCTCCTACCCTGTTGGCCACAGCTATGGTCGGCCAGACTGCGACCCGCGGTAGCACCCTGTAGATGGTGATTATGAAGTCACTTAACGAGTGCACTACACTCCAGCATGAAAACTATGCAGCATCAATCAGAACTTAAGGAATAGTATAACGTTGATGGAAAATTCATATGGAAAGAAAAACAGGAAAACCCCAATTTTTTTTTAGCATCATACCATTTGAATATGCTAAAACTATCACCCATGAAGATAGAAACGGAAAGCTGGGCAACAGTCACGAATACATATGGGAAATTTATTTCCACAAGGTTGCAACACTATAGCATCGTAGTGACATAAAGCATACAGCAGATAGTCTTTATAATGGAATGTTTCTATTAAAATGAGAATTTCATGAATCCTGCGCAGCGAATGTTTCGTAATCAATATGGGACAGGTATAACGTCTGGAAAGGAAACAGCTCTGCGGTTGGTGAAGCAATTATGATACATGTCACTATTTCCAGTGGGGCCACTTAAAGGATAGAGTGTTTGAATGTCACCCACAAGCTATTGCGGAGTTAAAGGAAGCAACATTTCCGAGGATACGCTGCAGGCAATCCTGCACAATTACGCCATACGCCTACGTCACGCTACAGAACTGGGAGGTGGATATATTGAACTTGTCCTTCATTGAGCAATCTTTTTCCTGTACGCGGTCGTGATTGTTGTCAAGTTTTCCGTTCCCAGCTTCTGCAATACGACAGTTTTGCCGTTTTCCAATGGTATGCTGTTTAAAAAATCCCACTGTTGATGGTGATTGTAAAGTCACTTAACGAGTGCACTACACTCCAGCATGAAAACTATGCAGATAGAAAACTATGGAAATTAAAAACATTAAGTATTTGCGTTAAGTGGAGGGGGGACAGGGGTCGCCCCGGGCCTCACAACTTCTTAATCCGGCCTTGTCGGTATCCTTTCAAATAAACGGATGGATTCGGCCTCGATGTGGTGGCTTTTCAACTACTCTGCATCGCTTTGAATTGTTTCAATCTCCAAAGGGCCTTTCTTTTCTTTTATTCGGGTTTGGTTGAGAAGAGTGTGGAAAAGTAATGGCCGTAGATGTCTTGGGGGTCACATGGTGAAACTCGCGGGAAGGGAATTCTCACCAGAAATTCTGTTATATGCCACTTTGAGCATCCATTGCTTGCCAGTATGTCATAGGACGACAAGTAGACGTTTTCTCAGGGCCTGATTTATCCCTGGCTGGTTTCGGTGTCACCTTCTTGCCTCTGTATTAATCATTTACCATCCTATCCGCTTCACTTCACTTTACCATCAATCTCCCTAGCTTGTACGTAATTTTGCTTTCTCGTATAACTGGATAGCCGAACAAAACAGATGAGATACATATGGAAATGTGGATGGTGTCGCACTGACGCAGTCGCTTTCTTTTGCCATAAATGGTTGACCTTTGCAGTAGGAGAAAATCCTGCTGCGCGAAAGAGCATAGGTGCGTTCCGAGACCAGCTGCTCTTACCCCTGCTTATATGTACATGCATTCTCTACTCTCGTCGCCCACACTTCACGTACCTTGTCAAGAGCAGATCGTCAACACTTCACGGCAGCATTTTGTAAGGTCATCCATAGCTGCACTGTTGTACAAGCGATGACGTCATATGACGTCACAACCCCTTCCAAAGAGGCATGTGTTTCTTCGTCTAATGGTTTTCCCAAATGTGATACTAAATATACATATCAGGTGATGCAAAAAAAGCGTACTGTTTGACGCTTTATAAAACTTGCTGTGGGTGATCTAGGTTCGTGATGTTTTCGTATCACATTGGAAACACTACAAAATATGTTTTCTGAAAGTTTCATGTATCTATTAATAGATTGTCGGAATAAAAATTGACAGTCTTTCATAGTGGAGTTATAAAATTACCTTTTCCGTGCATGAAGTGGATGGACCCAAGTAACACAGTATATTGATGAAACGTTTTTGAAATGTTGCCTATGTTGCTCTATGTTGCAAGTTGCTGTACAACATTGAGAAAACATTGCTTCAATGTTTTCACTTGGAATGTTGCTGCGACACTTCTACGAATGTCATTGCAACATTAGCTATCAACATTAAGAGAATGTTGACACTCTTGACATCGACAACGTGGCGACAACATTCTGATACAACAAGGACTTAGAAGTTTTAGGGAATCGTAAAGTCGTCCTCCTTGCCACGAGATGGAGACGTAGGTCTCACTTTTCTCACAGTGCACAAAAGTGCCCTTCTTCCTTTCCCTGTTCTCGTCCCGCACGGGAATGTTTAGTACCTTGCCAAAGTCTCGCATTGTCTCATTATAGGAATCAATGAACACGGACACATCATCACTTGTTATCCTCATATTCCAGACAGATTCATGGGGTCAAGATAAAGAAGCTCTTATTCCCATAAATAACCCTTTCTAAGAACTCGTCCATTGCATCCTGCATTATAATAAAAACGATGGCAGAGAGTCTGTGATCTCAATCGTTCATATCCTCATCCTGAGAACCAGATGAGGAAAAGACGGACTGATTTCATGGACACTCCAAAGAACATGGCGGTCGGACCTTTTCTTGTAACGTGCCATATTTAGCACATTACAGGGGAAGATCACCTCGAAAAATGTCCTATATCTCCTGCCTGTACATGATACAGATACCGTATTATGCATGGGTAGGGCTTATACCAGTACGGGCTTCGTCCTGTTGATGGGAATGTCTGAGTAGAGGTAAAGTATATGGTACGGAATGATGAAATAAATAATTCAATATCGGTCGAATATCGGTCCACTTCAGGACCAGTGAAGCCTATGCTTTTCCGTAATGCCAATATAGGCCCAGATTAGGTGCCAATGAAGTAAAGTTTTATAATCAACATTGCAGCAACATAAATCCTGAAACGTTTCTGCAACGTATATGTAATGAATAAGTAACGATTTGCAACGTAAATGCAATGTTCCTTCCCAACATTTGAGCAACGTTGACGTTTTGGACATTTACACATAGATGCAACATTGTTCATCAACATTTCCTAAACGTTGCTGGAATATCTTGTGTTACTTGGGGAGTTTCAGAACTGCTTCAATGATTTCTCTCACTTGATACCATAAAGACTGCTTTTTACGCCATATCCTTGTCGTAATATTCTACGCGTCGTAGAATAGTACTACTATTGTACATCATAGCACCAGAATCGATATTACGCAGAATACTACGATGAGAACTGGCATAAAAAGATGCATTCATGGTGTCAAGGAAGAGAAATCATTCGAACAGTGCTGAAACTCAACCCACCTTATGCGCGGAAAAGGTACATTTTATGATTCCACTTTGAACGACTGTCAATTTTTATTCCGACAACCTAGGTACATGATACTTTCAGAAAACAAATTTTTTTTGTGTTCCCAATGTGATACGAAAATATCACGAACCTAGATCATCCATATCGGGTTTTATAAAGCGTCAAACAGGACGTGTTTTTTTTGCGCCACCCGATATACAGTATGTACAGGGTGGTCCACAATTGTCCCCCCCCCCCCCAA